AATTTGAGTCTTCTCTCTTTTATTCCTTGGCCAGTCTAGCTAAAGGCTTGTCCATTTTGTTGATCTTTTCAAAGAAACAACTTTTGGTTTTGTTGATTTTTTTTTTTTTTTTTTTCTATCTGCTGAAAACCAATAATGAAAAGAAAATCTTTAAAGCAGCCAGAGGAAAACAAGACACATTGTGTTTGGTGGAAGAGGAAGCGGTGCAGTGCAGACGATGGTGGAATGATGCTACACTGTTCCTTTAAACAGTAGATTAAACAAAACAAGCGCGTCTCCTTCGCGCCTGAGGCCCTCGGCCGGCTCTCTGGGGGAGACAGGCTGCTTTGTCAGGAAGAGCCCTCGCCCCGACCCTGAATCCCACACAAGCACCATGTCCCGGGCTCTCCACGATGGAGGTGGCGGTTTCCCTTCCAGCACAAAGGGAGAAAGAGAAAAAGCATGCCGTGTGGACACTGCCCACAGTGCCGGTCCCAGTGTAGGCAGGAGTCTGTGCTGATTATGATGCTTTCGGGAAATAATGTTTTCCCTTATTTTAGCCCTAATCCAGTCGTTATCAACCTTGGCTGCGCTTTAGAATCGGCTGGGGAGCTTTAAAAAACTACCAAAACCCGTCTCCATCCCAGACCAATTTAAATTTAGCATCTGGTGGTGGAACCAGGCCATCTGAGTGTGTGTGTGTGTATGTGTGTGAGTGTGTGTGTATCAATATAAAATATATGTATGTATATATAAATATAAAATATATGTGTATGTATATGTGTATGTTTACTTATTATTTGGAAATTTAAAAATATATACCAAAGTGGAGAGAACAGTGATCTTCAAAAGGGATATGAGGACCCCCAGGGGTGAAGGCTTCTCCAGGGGATCAGCATTAGCTGACTATCCAGGATGGAGGTGACACCCCAAATATGTTTTGTCCAGTTTCCCCACCCAGGTGAGGTGCAAAATGGAGGTGATTCTTGGTCACGAAACAGATACCGTTACACACACACACACATTGTTGGGAGGAAAACTTCCTCTACCAGCGAAGGTACTAATAGTTGGGGCCTGCGTATTAATCGACAACTGCCGGTTTGAGGATCACTGTCGAGTGGTTTACAATTCTCTGCTTTCAACTAGATTTTAGAAGAGTGAGTCATAAATTTCCCCTAAAATTTTACTTTCTATTTATCAAAATTTGTCATGTTGTTTTTATCAGTTATGTGCTTCTAGTAATTATAATAACACAAAAGAATTTTTTTGAACACTTAGAGCCTCAATATCATAGGAGATAAAGTTCAAAAGTTTTAAAATAAATATATACTTTTGTTGTCAAGAAGAATGAGCAGGTGATCAGTAATAGATATTCAGGCATAAAAATATATCACAATCCAATAAACTTCTTTGGAGGAAGTAAGTGTAAGTTCAAAAAGAAAAAAAGGAATGTTGTTGAAGAAGAGCTAGTTTCTATATTTAGATGGATCATGGTGGGTATCATGTTGCTGTGATATTTAGATTCCATTGGATTCACTTCAGAAAGTAATGTTTTATTTCACAATGTTGAGATTTACAATACATTGGAAATCATTTTCTTTGCAACTGCTCAAACTTGTGATGAATCATAGATGTCAACTGAAAAATGTGCGAGGGAGAACATGCATTAAAATTTTTTTGTGTGTGAGGAAGATTAGCCCTGAGCAAACATCCGATGCCAATCCTCCTCTTTTTGTTGAGGAAGATTGGCCCTGGGCTAACTTCCATGCCCGTCTTCTGCTACTTTATATGGGACGCCGCCACAGCATGGCTTGACAAGCAGTGCATCAGTGCCAGCCCTGGATCTAAACCTGCGAACCCCGGGCCATCAAAGCGGAGCGCGCGCGCTTAACCGCTGTGCCACCGGCCGGGCCCCCTACAATTTTTTTTAAAGGCATGAGAAAAGTTTGAAGATCACTGGTCTGGAAGGGTTGCTTTGTTTCCTTCTGGAGGGCCAAGGGCTGTTCCCTAGAATGTAATTTATTTTAAACCTTGTCTTTGTAGTCTAATAAAGCAGAAATTGATTCATACTCGACAGCTTCACCTGTTTTAGGATAAATAATGAACACTGCAGAACTTAAATATGTGCTTACGGAAATTGTGTGGATGTGCTATGCATAGCACTTTCTATCTGTAATCTCTTGTGAAGGAGAAACAAATATGTTTCTGTGGTACAAAGTTACTTTTACTATTGTTAATATAGCTTATTTTATAGTAATAATTAAATCATTCCATTCTGACATCAGCTTTCAGTTCCTATTCCTTAATCTAATTCTCTAACCTGACTCTGTAATCTATTTCTAATTCTATTAATCCTCAGAAGAAGGGTGGGTTTGTTCCCTGGTCTGTGTGAATGAGAGGCTGGGATCTCTGCACAGGCTTAGCCGGGTCTCTGTAATAATCACAGTGGTTCCCATCACTGAGCAGGGTTGACCGCAGGCGGCCCTGTACATATGTTCTCTCTAACGGTCACTACAACCCTGGGAAGTGGATCTTATCTTTCTCAGTTTACAGCTGAGAGAACTGGGGCTCCCGGAGGTTAAGTAGCCCAAGGGCACACAGCTAGTTGCTGGAGACCTGGGACCTGGCCCTGGGTTGTGTGACTGATGATTTCCACCTCAGCACCCTGCCTCTGGGGTCTGGCCCTGGGCAAAGAGCGCACAGGTGAGGAAGGAGGGAAGCACAGTGGGTGGGGTCTGAAGACCGGGGCTCACTTCCTAGTTCCACTCCATGGTTAGCTGTGAGGCCAAAGAAGTCACTTACCATCTTTCAGTCTTAATGTTGTTGAAAATTTGCAGGATTATGTGAGACTTAAACTGTAATGATTTGATTTTGTGGAATTGGGAATTGGGTTATGTTTTTCCATCTGTGTTGAATGAGGCCGTGAGTGGATTGTCAGAGCTTGGAAGCGTGTAGTATCCCTGCCTGGTTTCGGCATTGGAGAAAGAAGTCAGGTAGTGTGGACACAGGAAAACGCAGCACATCTTTTTAGATAGAGAAATATTCCCTGCGTGCATTCCAGATAAGCCTGAATTGAATGAACTCGGGTAGAGAACATCTAAATTGTTCACATAAAGCTCTGAACCTGGTCTCTATCTCTGGGGACTTACATAAGGGTAGAGTTAAAACACAAGAATTCAGTTTGTATTAAAGGAACGTCACTTCTTTGGATTAGGAGAAAAGAAATCTCTGAATTTCAGGCTTCGTGGCCTGATTCCCTACTGGCTTTCAAGGATTCAGTTAAAGCCTCTGCTGACTCACAGAATCTGCCCGAGAACTGCTTCAAATGTCTTTTCTACGTTTGCTCGCCTGCTTCTGGCTAGTCTTTTGAAAAAGGAACACAGAACAATTTTGGAATTAAAAATATATGAAGAACAATTAATGAAGGCCCATGAATGTACCACCTTGCTTAAGAAATAGTCCGAGCACCTGTGTGCATCGCCCCATCACAGACACGTCCAGTTGGGGCCCCAGCCTGGGACTCGACAGCTGTCACCCCAGGCCTGCCTTTGTACGTGTCCTGCATAGGGATGTCTGCTGAAGTGACACACGGCATTGCTTTGCCTGATTTAAAACTTTGTATAAATAGAATAATACTGAACGTATTCTGTCCTCTTGATTTTTTCATTCAAAGTGAAAATGTTTTTGAGGGTTGTTCATATTGATTCAGGTAGTTCTAGTTCATTCATTTTCACTGCTGGATGGAATTCCACCGTATGAATATACCATGTCTTAGTTCACTCATCAATGAAAAGGAAGAGGCAAAAGGCAAAAATAGAGAGACCTTTAGCATCGATCAAGACATGAGTCCAGGAGCCTCTTTTTCACTAAGATAACAGTGGAGATTAGTAAGAGTGAAATGAAAAAATAATCAAATTGAATCCTCAGCGTTAACACAGTTCCTAAAAAGCAAGCTAATGAAAGGCAAAAACAAAAAAAAAAAGGTGGAGAATGGATTAATACCACGAGACAGGCCCTCTGTCTCCCGGGAGCTCAGGGCCTCCTGCTGCCCGGCACTCAGCCCTCCCGGGTACCCCATGCTTCCACCTCCTCCTAGCCCTTGCGCTGCCTCCGTGCACGTCCTTGGGTGGCGCTCAGGAGGAAAACGGTATGATTGAGTACTTCACGCTAAGGGTGAATAGTGGATAGGCTTATTCCCTCTTCTTGCACATTAGCACCAAGTACGGAATTGACTATAAAGAATAGCCTCGAAAACTACATTTCTTCCCCTCCCAAAGAACGGAACTGAGAAGTCCGGGGAAATTCAGGAGAGGCAAGGTTCGGGCGCTTCAAGGCCATTTTTAGCATTCTCCACATCCAACTCTCAATTCTGCTTTCTGCTCTAAAGCAGTGTTATTGAGCAGAAGATACTGGTCTGGGCTGTCACTGCAGGCTCAGCAACATCCCTCCTCCATCCCCTCGGAAGGGGAAATACGTGATATTCCATAATCCTTTGCCAGCCGTTTCCATTATGACAGTTCTCCGGTGAGAGGCGCCTGCCTGCGGTTTGTGGGGCGGGAGAGAAGCGGCAGCCACCCTTCATCTCCGGGAGAAGGGATGGACATGTGGGTAGAGGGCAGGTTCTGTTACCCCTGACCCCACTGTGAGGCTGCGGCTCTGGCAGAAGAGCCCCGCCCCTCTCTCCCCACGGCCCCTGAGGTTCCTTCACTCCCAGATGTCCTGAGAGCCAGCAGGGGTTTGCCCGCGGCCTTCGCTCTCCAGCCTCTCCCATGGTTTGGGAAGCGTCTGACCCCTCCCTGCCTTCTGTGTTCCTGGTGGAACTCTGCCTCTTTGGTCACTTTGGCTGATTTGCGCATCCTCTGGTGTCCCGAACGTGAGTTGTTTAGTTTTCCCACCAAACTCAGGACGTGTTTTCAATTTATAATAAAGTATATTTCATAGTCATTTTATACACTTTTCTTGAAATCTCCCACACCCGCTCTCAAAAAAACTCAACAAAACAAATGGAAACACCATCATTCTTAAATTTTTTCATTTATTATAGCTGCTATTGTTGTTATCATATCTTGCTTTATACCGGAATTGTGACAAAGGGCCATTAGTTTTAGAGAAAGTGAAGAAAGGTAGGAAGGTTGCTCTAATTTTTTCCAAACCTGGCTGGAGGGAAAATTCACACATCCTTCAAGTTTATGAAACAGGCGTCGAATCTTGATTAAACTGGCCAGGAGAAAGAGGTCATCCCCATTCAGGTGCCGGAGAACTGGAATCTCCTCAGGCTTTGGTACCTTTTCAGCAAAGAGAAAGAGAAGGGAAGCTCGGGGTCCAGTAGAGGAAATGGTGACTGCAGCCCCGGGGGAGGTGAGGGGAGGCGTGTGGGGGCACTAATTTGGGGTTGAGTCCGTGAGTCTAATTATCCATAAACAGGGGCAGTAGTGTTCTTCTAATCTGAACGAGGAATGAGCTGAAATGCTGTGGAGGCTGGAGAGACTAGAGCAGGCCAGACCCAACGGAATTTGGATACTTGCAAATGCTTACAATTTACCCAAGTAATTTAAGCAGCACACGCTGAGGGACACGAAGATGCCGCGCACACAGCCCCTGCCCTGGGAATGCCCAGTGAGGGGAGCGTGGCGGGAGCTGGCCTGGAGGCTGGGAAGGCACGGAGGGGCGGCCTTCCTCGGAGCAGGTAGCACCTGAGCTGGTTTTCAAGAAGGGCCAGGATGACTAACACTCCTTCCTTCTCCTAAAACGTGCCCCTACCTCCAGGAGGCCCTTCCACGTTAACCTCTCCATGACCCTTCCTCGGCCTCTGCGCTCCCCACTGCCTCTCAGCCTTTGGTGATTCAGGCTGATGTTGTCTCCTTGCAGCTGCAGGACAGTGAATCTGTTAGGACAGTCTTGCCTGAGGTGTTTCCAGTCGGTGGCTTCCGGACCAGCCTGGGAGGGGCGTCTAGCCTCGGTGGGCGGGTTAAAGGCAAGCTGAACCACTACCTTCTGCAAGCGCAGTGACCACTTACCTGCGGAAGACACGGGAACTCAGGGCACCTTTCTGCACTTTCATCCCTCCTCTCATCGGAAGGGAGGGAGGGAGGGAGGGAGGGGGGAGTATAAGATGGATGGATAACGAAGAATGGGTCAGCATTTTTAACCTCCCTTCAATCCCGTAAAATGACAGAAAACTTGTTTGGAGAGTAAATCAATAATGGTTCTAGGAAATAGGAAAGATTTTTCATTAGCAGGAATAATCTTAAGGAATTCCTAAAAATCAAAAAGCAGATGGGACTGCTATATCCATAGAGAGAGAAATGACCAAATGAAACCACGAAACCCAAACACACACATTCTGAGCTCAAAGTCAACGTGAGTGAGAAGCAGCAGCGGCCCTGAGGTAAATACTAGGATGACTGGTTGGGAGGCGGCCCCGCGCCGTCCTTCTGTGTTGAGCAGTGGTGCCCACAGGCTGGGCTGGAGCCTGGCACTGGGGCCGGCCTTCTGCCCTCCACAGCACATGCCACTTCACAGTTATCAGAAACAAACTTCGGCAAGCAGAACATGCAGAAAAACAGGGATTCTCAAATACAAAAATGAGCACACAACCAAGAATCACCAAATAGTTGGGGAAATTTGAGGCCATGAAAGAGAGGCACCAGATTTACCTATCAGTGATACCAATGCTCAAGCAAACAGAATTAGTAGCCAGAGGAAGACTTTAGAATATATATAATTAATATTTTCTGAGAGATTTGAAAGAATTATTGTCAAGGAAAAGAAATAACTAGAAGACTTGGAAGTTGATTCTATGCAAATAGAAAAAAGTTATGTTACCAATTGTAGAGTAACCATTAAAATATAATGTATTAAAAGATTGAGTGTTATATTGAGGAAAGCAACAAAATCCAGTTTTAGGCTGTTTGCAAGAGACACATCTAAGTCAAAATTACATAAAAAGGTTGAAAATGAAAAGATGAAAAAAATGTACCCAGCAAATGCTAACTTTTAAAAGAAAGCAGGGGTAGCAATTTAACATCAGATGGAATAATATTTAAGGCAAAGACCATTAATAAAGAAATTAGGAATAATACATACTGATAATGTGACGTTTTTTTTGTTAAAATAAACACAAAACCCCTCACTGATACACTGGTCAATAACGGGCACAGCTGAAGAGCCAGCGGGTGAGGGGGAAGATGGAGTCACGGGGTGAAAGGAACAGCTCACAAGAAGACAGTCAGCATCTTTAACTTCCTAACCACAGAGCCTCAAGACACACAAAGCAAAACCTGATGGAAATGGTAGGAAAAATGGACAAAGTCACAATCATATTGGGAGACTTGCATACATTTCTCAGAAATAAACCAACAATATAACAAGAAAAGGATATACAGAGAAGTGTGAACAGAACAATTAAACATATACAGTTTTGTGCCAACAAACAATACACTTTTGGGGGGGGTCAAATATACATGGAACAGTCATAAAAACTATGTAATCAACCACAAAGAAAATATCAATACATGTGAAGCAGCAGGGAAAAGATGCAAACCATACTTCTCGACCACTTAGAAATTAACAAGGAAAGGATAGTACATTTTTTTTATCTATTTGAAAATTCAATAACTACTGAGTTGAAGAAATCAAAATAGAAGTCATAAACTCTTCAGAAGTGAGAGAAAATGAGAGCGCTACAAACCAAAACCTGTGGCAGATGGCCAAAGAGGCCCTTGGAGTGCTAGGGTGGAGGTGGGGAGAGGGAGCTGCCGGGTTCCACAGGATGGTGGGGAAAGGACTGTGAGCAGAAACCCGGGGAGGTGAGGCAGCAGCTATGTGCTAAATGGGAGAGGAATGTTTTAGATTGGGAATAACAAGTGCAGAAGCCCTGTGGCAGGGACCTGTCTGGTATGGTCCAGGCACAGCAGAAAGGCCAGCACGGCTGGAGCAGGTACGTGAGGAAAGAGTGCCGCAGAGGGGCTCTTAAAAGAAGGAAGTCCAGACCACTGCAGTATTGTCTTTTATAGGACCTTGGCTTTTACTCTAAGATTGGAAGCCACTGGACAGTTTTGACCAGACTTATGTTTTCAAAGTATCACTCCAACTATTGTACTGGAATAGACTTTGGGAAGACCAGAAGCAGGGAGACTCATTAGGAGGCTGTTGTAATCGTTTAAACAAGTGATGGAGTAGGTACAAGAGGCAGACCAGGGTGACAGTCTTGGAGGATGTGAGGAGTGTCAGAGTCTGGAGATAGACTGGAGTCGAGTTTACAGGTCTTGCAGATCATGGATGTGGGGTCATGAAAGAGAGGAGGATGACTACTCCAAAGTTGTTGGCCTGAGCAACTGAAAGATGCAGCTGCCGCTTTCTGAGACGGAGAAGAGTGGGCTGGAGCAAGCTTTCAAATCTAACTTTGCTATGTTAAGTTTTTAATGCCCTCTTAGACACTCAAATGGAGACGTAGGGCTGGAATCAGAGATTTACAAGTCTAGAGTTCATGGAGGATCCACCTGGAGAGAAAATGAAAGGGTAACCCGCACATGGACGGTATTTAAGGACAGGAGGCTCAATGAGATCACCTGGGAAGTGAGTGTAGACAGAGAAGAGAGGAGCCCAAGGAAGCCCTGGGCCCCTCAACATTGAGAAGAGGGGAGGGAAGAAAACCCACAGAGAAAAATGAGAAGGAACAGCCCCCGCAGTGCAAGGAAAATGAAGGGAGAGCAGTGTCCTGGAAGCAAGGGAGCAGTGCTGCCAGGAGGAGGGAGTGAGCAGCTGGTCCGATGCCACCGAGAGGTCACTGGATTCTGCATAAATTAACTATAGTACATGTGGAATATTGTGGAGCAATTAAAAGAAAAACAGACAAATATGCTTGGAAATGTAGAGATGGACAAACCTTTAATACTTGTTAAGTGGAAAACGAAAACAAATAGAACCCCCCCCAACAGTACAGTCAGAATAGTATGGTCCAATTTTTATTAAAAAAAAGATGTACGTGAATAATTTATGAATACAGAGAAAAGAGAAATACAAGCCAAATTTTGGGAGGCGATTTCCATTGGGAAGGGGGCAGAATTGAAGAAAGGATGATTACTCTCTATTTTTCTATATGATTTGAATCTTCAAATAGGAGAATGTTCACGTCACTTTTGTAATTTTAAAACACTCAAAGAAAGGGTGATCAAGAGGATGAGGAGAATGAGAAAAGTAAAAACTTTCAACACCAAATTCTTTCTTTTGCATCAAAATGCTCTTTTTCTGATTAAAATTCATTTCTAAGGGGGAGGGAGAGCATTTTTTGCATTTTTGGTAAGAATGCATTTACCTAAATGTAATGTACCCAAAGGAAGCTATCTTGCATATTTCTAACTGAGGAAGAAGCTTTTCTGGAGCCTAAACAGCTGACTGCAGTGGCCAGACTGACAGTAGCGAGGCTAGAGCTTAGCACACTGTAGACCCTCCCTCTGTGTGGTCTAATCGGAAGTCTCCCTTCTGTTTGGCGTTTACGAGATATTCCTGCCCGTGCTGAATGCTGAGGTCATATTTCCTCTTACTAAAAGTATAGACTTTCTAGAGGTTGAAGACACCTTGAAGTTTGGAGCCATCTCTTTCTTTAATAATTGATGAAAGAAGGTCCTCAGAGTTTAAGGGACTTGTTCAAAGTCACACACTGTATATGCTACATATGTACTATATGGATACACACAGACCTCTATTTATATCTGTTTCTACAGATTTCAGCTTGGCTGAGGTGTAACTGACAAACTCCATGTCTTTAGGATTGAGCTGTCCTTTCCTGAGTACTTAGTTGGTGTCAAGCACAGGCCAAGAGCTATGCATTCTTACTGAATCTATAAGGTGGGAATCATTAGCCCCATTTCATAGATGAGGGAGGTCAAGTTCACCACTTAACTAAGTGGCAGAGTTGAGGTCTGAAACTACCTCTCTATAACCTGAAGTCCATGTTCTTAACCATCGCGTGGTATTGCCCATCACCGAGAGTGCACTCTGGGCTGTGTCCCGGGCGGGATGCAGGAATCAGAGATTCTGTCCTCAGGAGCTCACTGTCCAGTAGGGGAGGTGGCCATGAAGGCAAATAAGGCAGCATGGTTCAGCAAGCACAGGGACAGAGGTGAATACACCAGACAGCTTGGAGAAGGACATGACCCACCCCGACTGGGCAAAGGGCTAGGAGGTCTGGGCAGCGTCTCCAAGGAGATGGGGCTTATGCTTGGTCTTGAACATGGTTAGAACCCAGGTCTCCTGGCTCAGCCCAGGGCTTTCTACTATAGCATGGAGAAAAACAAACACAATACAAAATCCTAAAGCCAAACCCCCAAAGCAGCACTACTCAGTCACAGAGTAAACCGTCAGTAAATGTCACTTGGATCCAGGTCGGAACTAAAAGGAATTTCTGAGGAAGAAGAGACAATTAATAAGGCTGCCTCAATTCCATATGAAACTCACTATGTGTTTGTTTCTTCCTTGAATTACAAAATTTTTTGTGGACAGTAGATTATAAAATATAATCTATCAGTAATAACACTAACAAAAGTTATTTTACTCTTATTATTCTTTCTTTTTAATAATTTTATTTATTTTTCCCCCCAAAGACCCAGTAGATAGGTGTACGTCATAGCTGCACATCCTTCTAGTTGCTGTACGTGGGACATGACCTCAGCATGGCCGGAGAAGCGGTGTGTCGGTGCGCGCCCGGGATCCGAACCTGGGCCGCCAGCAGCGGAGCACGTGCACTTAACCGCTAAGCCACGGGGCCAGCCCATACTCTTATTATTCTAAATGCTTTAAACCGTTTTTAAAAATGTACCTACCTTCACTTTGGTTCCGACACTGATTCTTGCCTGTTGGCCCATTGCTAGAAAAGTGATTGAAATCTTGTCTTGTTCTACGATGCGAACTCCAACATAATGGTTCAAAGCCAGGAAGACAGGTTTAAATGAAACAAAGGGTGAGGAAGCAACAGAACTTGACCAATTCCAAGCCCTCACTCTGTTGCCAGCTTGATCAAAATATTGACCTCCCAAGATATTGATGTATACCCTGGGCGGAAATGAAATTAAAAATCATAAACAGTAACATTGTAATTCAACCTTGAAATTAGCCCTGTCACTTGCTGTTTATGCTAGCCAATAGCATACGAATGGTGGTAAACCTCAGGAAATCTTAGGAGTGAAAATACCGTGACTGAATTCTATACTAATTTGAGGTACTGGGTCCAATTCAAGAACTATTGATAAACCAACATGGGTCCAAAGGATGGAACCAGGACGGTAAAGGAGTCTGGAAAATTCTGTGCTGAGAAGGATGAAGAGGAAGCAGGGAAGGTTTAGTCTGGACAAGAAGAAATACAGGAGAGCAGGCTATACCTTAAAGAGGGAGAAGGCCAGGGCTGAGATTTTCCCCATGCCGAAATGAAGACCAGTGGGTGTAAATGCTGGGGAAGGCCAAATTGGCCTCAGTACAATAGTGCTGTTTTCTAATAGCACCCAGCAACTGGGAGCCAGGAGTCCTTCTAGGAGGCCCCTCACCAGAGCTGGGTGTGGGCAGGAAAGGCTCAGGGAACATCTCTGAGGTCACTGGTGGAGAAGAGCTCTGCCACAGAGTAGAAGGTGGAACTTAAGCCACCTGAGCCTCCCCCATCTCCTAGCGTCACCAATGCCACATCTTACTACCTTCCATACAAGTTAGCCCTGCACAGTTTGAGGTCTAGTGGCACTAATGACTGCCATTCTACTCAATTATCTCCTCATGCTCTCTCATCCTCTTCCAACTTGCATCTCCATCTGTTTCTTTTTTTTGTGAGGAAGATCAGCCCTGAGCTAACATCCAATGCCAATCCTCCTCTTTTTTTTTGCTGAGGAAGATTGGCCCTGGGCTAACATCCGTGCCCATCTTCCCCTACTTGATATGGGACGCCGCCACAGCATGAGTTGACTAGTGGTGCGTCGGTGCATGCCCAGCATCCAAACCTGTGCACCCCGGGCCGCCAAAGTGGAGCGCGCGCACTTAACCGCTGCGCCACCTGGTCGGCCCCATCCATCCCTTTCTTGAGGAGAGAGAATAGGAACGGCTCCAGGTACTTAGAAAGTTGGCTTAATTTGATAGTGAATTATTTCTTTAAAGCTAGATGAATTGGCCATGAGGGCCCCCTAAAGTAAGATGACTAACATCTTATTTCCCAGTTTTAGTGGCAGTAATCTAATAGCAAAAGTACAAATGAGAAATTGAGGTGATTATCTTATTGTAACTGGGAAGAGGGAGAGCTAGTTTTAGTTTTATCTTGAAATGTGGGTGAAAGTAATATTTTGGCTAAAATTATCCAGATAGATTGTTTATTTAATAAACATTCTTTGAGTCTGTACCGTGTACAGATACCTGCCATGTACTGGCAAAGATTCAGGGTGTGCCTTCAAGGAACTTCAGTCCAGCAGGGGAGAGGCAGCTAAAAGGGGCTATGAGAGCATCAAGGAGTCATGTCAGACGGCCCAGGAGTTCAGCTGGTGGGTCAGGAGGCTTCATTGGCAAGGGAAAAGTTCTAAAAACCAATGATTATCTGGTGACAATTAATATAGTGCCCCACCAAATGTAATACAGAATTGCTATTGAACCCTGAGGGATAAGTAGAAATTCTCCAATATACATGGGGGTAATGGATTGACTACTGCTTTGGTCTAAAAAACACAAATAGCGCTCTGTGTCCTAACTCTCTCAAGTACTGGAAGTGTCCAAACTTTGTCAATTATTGCCAGAGTTTCTCAAGATGAGATTGTTGTACCTGTAAATAACTTAAAGGGAGAGAATATCTCTTTCTGAAAAGCCCAAAAAGTTTAAATTGTAAAGTTAGAACCCAAATTTCACTTTCGCAGGCTAAATGAAATAATACAAAGTCACAGAGTATGTAAGTTGGTAGATCAAAATGGGATCAGGATCTTAATTTCTCTAGAGATTTTGTTTGTATGTTATTGTTGTTGATTGTGGCTTTAGGAAGCTTACTGGTTAGGAAAATATCTCAAACAACAAGAACACAGCGCAGCAGCTGTCCACCTCAAATTATTTCCCTAGACAAGGCTGTATGACATTATCAGGGCACAGGCTCTAGAGAGACTGCCTGGGCTCAGATCTCAAATTCCTATGGTGACCATATAATTTATTTAAAGATCTTTTTTCTAATATTGAAGTTGTATAGTTTATATTTTCTTGCTGTTATATAGAGAGAGAATATAATGAGCTTTGTTCTATGTGGTTACCTGGGATTTTTCCACTGAGAAGCATATGGAATAGCATAAATCAAAAATTTCTCTGAATTGAACATTATTATCTAAAAACCACTAACAAATGAATCTTCTTAAAGCCATTTTTACCATTTCAAAGGAAAAACAAAACTTCCAGTTATAAGATGAATAAGTTCTGGGGATCTAATGTACAGCATAGTGATTATAGTTAATAATACTATATTATATACTTGAAAGTTGCTAAGAGAGTGTAGCTTAAATGTTCTCAACACAGAAAAGAAATGGTAACTATGTGGCATGATGCAGGTGTTAGCTAATGCTATGGTGATAATCATTTGCAATATATAAGTATATCAAATCAACACGTCATACACCTTCAACTTACACAATGTTATATGTCAATTATATCTCAATAAAGTTGGAGAAAAAATAAAATTTCACAAAACCCAAAAAACAAAATGGCAGCAGGAGGAACCCGGAAGCCTACCAGACATTTCCATTGGGATGATAGCAGGAACTTCTGCCAGAAGAATCCAGCACTCCCAGGATCGCAGGGTTAGTGGGCATGTCATCTTGGACTATACAAGTGAAACCATTTATCTTGTTGGGCACTCGAATGATGGCTAGGTTTCCAGATGGATAGCTGAGATCAGATAAGGTCATTTGAGTTGTTCTAATGGTCCTTGACTATTCTGGGAATAAATTTAATTTATGAGAGAGCCCTTTGAAGCTATAAAGCATTTTGAAAATGGGAGGTACTGATATTACAAAAGGATTTTATGCTTTTTATGTGGATCAAAATATATTTATGAGACATAAAAATCCTCAACAAAATATTAGCAAATGGAATCTAGCAACATATAAAAAGGATTATGTACCATGGCAAAGTGGAGTTTATCCCAGGAATACAAGGTTGGTTTAACACCTGAAAATCAATTAATGAAATATACCATATTGATAGAATAAAGAACAAAAACACATGATCATCTCAACAGACACAGAAAAAAACCCAATACTTTTTCGTGATAAATGACTCGATGAACTAGGAATAGAAGGGAACCTTCCAAACTTGATAAAGTGTCTAACAAAAACCCACAGCTAACGTCATTCTTAACGTTTTCCCTCTAAGATCAGGAACTAAACAAAAATGTCCACTCTCCCCACTTCTATTCAACATTGCACTGGAGGTTCTAATCAGGGAAATTTTATGAAAGAAAAAGAAATGAAAGGCATCCAAATTGGAAATGGAAAAAGTAAAACTATCTCTATTTGCAGATGACATGCTCTTCTATATAGACTATCCTGAGGATTCCACAAAACAATATATTAGGACTAACAAACTAGTTCAGCAGAGTTGTAGGCTACAAGATCAAGAGATAAATATAAACTGTATTTCTATACACTAGCAGTGAAAATTCTGAAAATGAAATTAAGAAAATAATTCCATTTACAATAGCATCAAAAAGAATAAAATGAAGATATTCCACTAACTGTTAATACCCACTCCTCTCTAAGCTGATCAGAAGTCCAGAGGTGAAGTAAACACAAGACTGATTCTGAACCATTCTGAAAATCAGCCACAGCCTTCCAGAAAGATAAGAAGAATGAAAGCCAGGGCATGAAAAGATAACTAATAATAAAAGTTGGGGAAGTTATTTAAAATTTATGGATATAATTAAAACAAAATCTACACTCTTTCTCATAGAGTCTAGAGAACTAAAAGTTCATGACACTTCCTATGCCATGAAAGTCACTTTTCTGGTTTATTATTGGTGTTCGACTAAACATTTAGGAAACTATGACTAAAAATGACTTTCTCCTACAAAGTGTGGCCTTCAGTTCACCAAAAAGCCCTCCTCATTTCATAGTTTTTTTTTTAGTTTCTTTGAGATATTGAATGGCCTTCATATAGAAATATCAAATGGCCTGGCCATCAGGGAGAAGTTCAAGTGATCAATAACTTAGTGTTCCGTAAAATGGATATTGAATTTTTGTATTAAAAAGTAACGTGCCCCTCACGGATGTGTGAACTGGTACACATTCTCTGGGGGCAAAATCTACCTCAGCTTTAAAATATCCATAACTTCCTACCCAGAATTTCTACCCCTAGGCGTTTAATTCAAGGAAATAAGTGATAAGTATGCAATGAAGTATGCACAAAGCTGTTCATTTAGCTGTTGTATATACTAGCAAAAATTGTGAAACCAGCTTTGTTCAGGAATAGGGGATAGTTTAAATGAATTATAGTATATCCCTATAATGAAATACCATGTGGTTATCAAAAGAGTGTTATATCTCTATATTTATTGCATATTATATACTCATAACGTTATTTGTTGTATAATACTATTGTGTAAACTGGGCAAGTTACAAAATATGAATAACTAGTTGAAGAATTGATTTTTAAAGAATTATATATATGCTTGTAGAAAAAAGGAAGGAAAGATACATGAAAAGATGTTAACAGCTTTTCTCTGGGTGGTGGGATTTGGGGGTAACATCTATTATTTCTTTATATTTTTCTACATATTTTTCCTTTATCTTTTTGTGAAGAAATAAACCTAATGGAAATAACTTGTTGAAAGAAAGGATACAATATTTGCATTGTCCCATCTGGAAAGGAAGTCAGAAACTTGCTCCCATGCTTGTAATGCTTCTCTAAAAGCTCGTTGCTCACACTCTACACGCCGCAGAACGTAAAAGGACACATAATTGTTTCAGACACAACACATTCAGTATGACTACAACGCACATACTTTGCTTGCTAGACAGTGATACAAACCACTTCTTACTTTAAATTTTGGGCCCTGCTTCAGCGACAGGAACAATCCTTAAGGAATCCATAAAGATGGTCCCTAACCCCTGCAGAAGATAAAAACTTTCCAGCAGAAATCTGACATTACATGTCTGTTTGAAGGTGTTTTTTTTTTTTTTAATTTTTAATTTATACACATATTACTGTAAAAACAAAAGAAGATAAAAACCAGCCCCAGCACAATGGAAATATTCTATATCCTGATTGTAGTGGTGGTTACATAACTGTCAAAATTCATAGACCTGTACATCTAAAAAAGGTGAATTTTACCGTATATAAATTATAATTCAGTAAGCTGACTTTAAACTTCAGGATAAGGTGCAGCATCTGGTGTCTGTTCAAGGTCGCTCTTGAAGTTCATTTGAGCAAAACACTAGTGGAGTATGAGAGGATGAAGAAAGACATACAGGGAGATATTCCTTCTTATATCTCCAATTTTAACTACTTTATATATAATTTTCAATAGGGAGATGAATTTGTACCCAATAATGTTTTACAATAAACTAAAGATTCGATTTAATTCTACTTATTCCTAATCTTGAATTGTAATAAAATGGATACAAGAATTCCTAGGGCTAAACAGTGAAAATTTAAATTGTCATGTAAATGTTGCCATTTATTTTGGAAGATAATACATTTTTTCACTTTTAGGAATTATGAATATGAAATATATTCAGGTAAGTGCTAAAACATGCTATTTTGTTAATGAGTAATTATAAAACGAACACTGATGTTATCACCGTCCAGATCAAGAAAGAGAGCAACGCTGATATCTCGAAGCCCCCTGCCCTGCCTGTCTACCCCAAAGTCAATATCCTTCCTTCCTAGACACAGCCATTGGTCTGATTTCATAGTACTTTCCTTGCACTTTTATAATTCCTAAACAATACAGTTTAATTTTTCCCGTTTTGAATTTTGCATTAATGGAATCACATGTTATGTATTTTGTTTCTTTCTGTCGACATTATGTTTGTAAGATTCATACACGTCCCAGTGTGTAGCTGTAGTCCAATAACTTTCAGTTGTGTATAGTAGTCCATTGCAGGAATTTATCACTATTTATTTATGCCTTCTATTGTTAATGGATATTTGGGTGGTTTCCAGTTTGGGGCTATTATAAAAAATGATACCGTGAACATTCTCATGCACGGATGCTGGTACCCAGTTCCTCTTGATATTATACCCAGAAGTGAAACTGCTGAATCCCAAGAGATGCCTGACTTCCACTTTACTAGATGATGACAAAATGATTTCCAAGCTGTTGTACCAATTTACGTTCCAGTGGAGGCAAAAAACAGCGACTGTTCTTGCTCTGTATCCTTTCCAACACTCCATGCCAGCACACTTGACTTTTTTTTTCCCCCAATATGGCAAGTATGTACTGATCTCTGCCTGTGGTTTTACTTTTCCTTTCCCAGGTTACTAATGAGGTTGAGCACATTTTCACATGTTCATTGACGATTTGAATTTTCTCCTTTGAGAAATGTCCAAGTTCTTTTGGCCCATTTTTCTATTAGGTAGACTTTTTTTCATGTTGATTTATAAAAATTCTTTATATGTTTAGGATACGAGCCCTTTGCCTGTCGTACGTGCTGCAAATATTTCTCCTTTCTTGGCTTGTCTTTCACAATTTTAATTTTAATTTATCAAATCCTTTATGGATACTGCTTTTTTTCATTGGTTAGTAAATCTTTCCCTAACCTGAGATAATAAAGCTATTCTCCTATATTAAAGAAGTCTTTGTAGTTTTTCATTGAGGTCTTTAATCCACATGGAATTGATTTTTATGTATGATGTGAGGTAATAGTTCCAATTTCATTTAAAAAAATATATAGATACTCGATCATCCCAGCGCTATGTATTGAAAAGATTCTCCTTTCTCCATTATTGTGCAGTGCCACTGCTCTCATAAATCAGATGTTTATGCGTGCATAAACATGTCCAGTGATTCTGGACTCGATTCTGTGTCATGGATTTCTTTGTTTATCCTGCCTCAACATTATTACCCTGTCTTAATTACTATATTTTGTAAAAGATCTTAATATCTGGTAGAGCATGTTTCCCTCCCTCCCAGCCTTCTTCTTGTTCCAGAATGTCTGGGATATTCTAGGTTCTTTATATTTCCACATGATTTTTAGAATCAACTTGTCAAGACCTCCTTTCCCCCAACAAACACAAATAGACAATCTTAATTTGAACTGCAATTGCATTGCATCTATAGATCAATTTGGGAAGAATGTCATCTTTAAAATATTTAATCTTCTGATCCATGAAGATTAGGTCAAATTTGTTAAATGAGTTATTCAAATATTCTATTATATTATTGCTTTTTTTGGGGGGGGGTCTAATAGTCCTCTTAATTATTGAGAAAAGTAGGCTAAAGTATCCCATTATGATTATGGATTTAAAAATTTTTCCTTTTACTTTTGTGACATTTTGCTTTCTATAATTTTGAGGCTATGTTAACATGGAAAAACATATTTTGTAATGTTATATCTTCCTGGTGGATTAAACTTTTATCATTATGAAGTACTCCTCTTTATCTCTAGTAGTGCTCTTTAGAATTTTCATTATATATATCGTTTTTATTTATTTATATTTAATCTTTCTTTTTGATTTTTGAAGGTGTTCATTTATTTATTTATTTATTTTATTGTGGTGACATTGGTTTATAACATTGTATAAACTTCAGGTGTACATCATTATACTTCTATTTCTGCACGGATTACATCATGTTCTCATGTTCACCACCCAAATACTAATTATAATCCATCACCACACACATGTGCCTAATCATCCCTTTCACCCTCCTCCCTCCTCCCTTCCCCTCTGGTAACCACCAATCCAATCTCAGTCTCTATGTGTTTGTTTGCTGTTGTTTTTATCTACTAATTATTAGTGAAATCATATGGTATTTGACCTTCTCCCTCTGACTTATTTCACTTTGCATAATACCCTCAGTGTCCATCCATGTTGTCACAAATGGCTGGATTTCATCGTTTCTTATGGCTGAGTAGTATTCCATTGTGTATATATACCACATCTTCTTTATCCATTCGTCCCTTGATGGGCACTTAGGTTGCTTCCAAGTCCTGGCTATCGTGAATAACGCTGCAATGAACCCAGGGGTGCGTGTATCTTTACGCATTGATGTTTTCACGTTCTTTGGATAAATACCCAGCAGTGGGATAGCTGGATTGTATGGTAGTTCTATCCTTAATTTTTTGAGGAATCTCCATACTGTTTTCCATAGTGGCTGCACCAGTTTGCACTCCCACCAGCAGTGTATGCGAGTTCCCTTCTCTCCACGTCCTCTCCAACACTTGTTTCCTGTCTTGTTAATTATAGCCATTCTGACGGGCGTGAGGTGGTATCTCATCGTAGTTTTGATTTGCATTTCCCTGAGAGTTAATGATGTTGAACATCTTTTCATGTGCCTGTTGGCCATCTGTATATCGTCTTTGGAGAAATATCTGTTCAGGTCTTTTGCCCATTTTTTAATTGGGTTGTTAGTTTTTTTTGTTGTTGAGATGTATGAGTTCTTTATATATTTTGGAGACTAACCCCTTATCAGATATATGGTTTGCAAATATGTTCTCCCAATTGTTAGGTTGTCTTTTTGTTTTGTTGATGGTTTCCTTTGCTGTGCAGAAGCTTTTTAGTTTGATGTAGTCCCATATGTTTATTTTCTCTATTGTTTCTCTTCCCCAGTCAGACATGGTGCTTGAAAATATGTTGCTAAGACTGATGTCAAAGAGCGTACTGCCTATGTTTTCTTCTAGAAGTTTCATAGTTTCAGGTCTTACATTCAAGTCTTTAATCCATTTTGAGTTAATTTTTGTGTATGGTGTAACATAATGGTCTCCTTTTATTTTTTTGCATGTGGCTGTCCAGTTTTCCCAACACCATTTGTTGAAGAGACTTGCCTTTCTCCATTGTATGTTCTTGGCTACTTTGTCAAAAATTAGCTGTCCATAGATGTATGGGTTTTATATTTAATCTTTTTGTATCCTTATATTTTAAATGTGTCTCTTGTAAACAGTACATGGTTGAATTTTTTCTATTTTAAAAAAGTTGTCTGACAGTCTTTATTAACTGGAGTGTTCAGTCTGTTTACATATAATATAGTTACTGACTTTCCTTGATGGTTTCTATTTGTCCCCTGCTATGTGTTTTTCTTTTCCCTTATCCTTTCTTGTCTTTTGGGGGTATTTAAAATAAGTTATTCTATTTTTTGCTCTATCTCTTCTAGGTTGGAAGTTATACTCTCTGCTTCTGTTACTTTTCTGGCTACCCAGAAAAGTAGTAGTAAAAATTGTAGTAGTAAAAAGTAGTAGTAAAAATTGTTTCTGGCAAGCAAACAATTTATCAAAGTCTGAAGTTAAGCTATGTATTTGCCCTTCTCCCAAAGCAAGGACTTTACAACACTGTAACTGCATTTAGCCTCCTTCCAATCATGTACTATTTCATCATGCGTTTTTATTCTAGACTGCTTTTTGAAACTCCATGAGCCATTATTATTATTATTATTATTATTATTATTATTTTATCAGCCAACTTTTAGTTTAATCCATATATACCATTTACCACTTTCTTTGCTCTTCATCTTTCTTGAATTTCAAACTGTCCAACTACACAAAGAACATTCTTTAGAATTTCCTTTAGTGTGGAGCTACTAGTGACACACTCTCTTTGTTTTTGCCAGACAATGTCCTTTTTGGGCACATTGTCTTGAAAGATGTTTAACTGGGTATAGATTTCTAGACTGACTGTAATTTTCTTTCAGCACAAGGAAGCCATTCCACCACCTTCTGGCTTCCATTGTTGCTGTTGGGAGGTCATCACATAGTCTAATTGTTCTCTTTTTATGAAAATGGAACCTTTTTTTCTCTGCTGCTTTTAAGATTGTCTTTTTCTGTTTGGTGTTCTGCAGTTTCACTACGATGTGTTTAGGATTTTTTTTTTAATTCATCCTGCTTGGGATTCATTGGGCTTCTTAAATCTGTGGATTGGTCTCTTTTATCTGTTCTAGAAAATTATCACCCATTATCTCTTCAAATACTGCCTCTGCCTAATTATCTTTCTTCTCTCCTTCTGGGATTTTGAATAAATACACTTTAGACTCCCCATTTTATTTTTGTTATCATACATTCTCCTCTATATTCCTTACCTTTTTTTGTCCCCGTGGTGAATTTTGATAATTTATTAGTTCTCTCTTTAGTTGGTCTAATCTGCATTTAACTCTCATCTTTTAAGTTTTTAATTTCAGTTGTTGTACTTTTCATCTCTATAAGTTTGTTTTTCTTCTTTACAAACCTGTTATATCACGTCACTTTATTTTTTTCTGTTCCCTCCGTATATCTTCAAGCTGATCTTTTATTTTCATAAACATAGTTATATTACTTCAATTTTCAAAGTCTTTTCAGTCTTTTCTTACTAGATATCATTCCTCTGGGTTTTCAGTTGAGTTTCCTTGCATTCTTGATTATTTTTCATTGTGTGCTGGTAACTGAACTTGAAAGATAATTTGTAGGAGTAATTTGAGGGTTGGATGAGTGACCTTCCTCCAGACAGGGTTTGGATTTGATTTTGTCAGGTACCTCAGTTCACCGCCACCCCTTAAATTCTGTGTTACCAAGAGAAACAAGCCTGGTCTCGGTAATTTAACTTCTAAGAATCTATTCTGAGGAGCTATATTTATATAAAAATAAATTTATACATCAAGATATTCAAAGCAATGCTATTTAGTATTAACAAAAACATTAAGAACCCATATGTCCAATAATAGGAAAATGGTTAACAGATATTAAAATGATGTTAATGTAAGCTATATACTATCATAGAAAATATTTTTTATAATTAAGTTAAAAAAGATAAAAATCACATATATAATTACAAGTGTGTTAACAAAAACATATGCATAAAAAAAGACTAGAACAGTGCTAATAGAACTTTTGGTGACCATAAACATGTTCTATATCTGCACTGCATTACGATGGCCGTTAGTCACACACAGCTATTTAGCACTTAAAATGTGACTAATGTGACTAAAGAATTACATTTTAAATTTTATTTAATTTTAATTATTTTATATTTAGATAGCCATATGTTGTAGTTGCTACCATATTAGGTAGTGCAGATCTAGAAAATATTGAAATATTAATAGTAATTTTGGGGAAGTGCTTGAGACTTTTGGTGATTTTCTCCCTTTCTTTTTAGTTTTCTAAGGGTTCTGAATGTTCTTTAATGTACAATTATCACGTTTTAAAGTAAAAAGGCTTTAACCAAAATAGCGCCCCATAAAACATATGTAAAGCATCGTCAGAAAGTCTAGTAGAAGTCAGAAGGCCAAGCCTGTACCAATTCTTTTTGACAAATGGTTAAATGTGTCATGTAGCAAAGCTGTTATATTCATCATGACAGCTTTTATAAGTTTAGGTAAGACTGATTTTTAAAGAGTAGCAATTTAAAAAATTACCAGCTAATTACCTTGCCACACGCTGTCCTAGAATCACAACAGAAAATGGATATGTTTCTTTGGTCTAATTGAAAATCAGATAGTCTGTCATCAGTTGGCTCTTTTTCTGGAATATTCATGGAAAGGTGATAAGAAATTCGTTTAAAGTTCTTTGAATCTAATGGGAAAAGAATCACAGGAAAGTACATATACGTTTTAAATTTTCCAAAACTTGTCTCTTAAAATGAAATTTCAAACTCTATTACAAATGCATTGATTCATCAGACTTTCTTTAGGGGAAGAAAAATGAGGACCTTCCTTAAATTAAGGTGAGGGCCTTCTTTTGTTAAAACTGAGAACATTCCTTTGTTAGAAGAAAAGTGATGATTTTCATTAAGTGGAGTTTTCTGGCCGTATGTTTAGTAGGAAACAGTTGACTATCTAGGAACTTTATACTAGGGATTTAGTTTTAGAAAAACATCGAGATATGTATATCTTCTCTAAGTATCTTTTCAGTAGCTCTGAGTGGTAGAGGAGGAGCCTGATGCTCAGAAAGTTTAAGCAATTTACCCCAAATCAGACAGCCTATAAGGAGAAAAGCAAGGATAGAAATCCAGAACTTCTGATTCTGAGATCAATGCTCCTTCAATTCTACCAGTGTGGTAGCTATACTGGCCAGCCAACGGCTGGAACCCACAGATGAAGGAAGGAATCTGATGTATTTTTGACAGATTTTCCATATTCCAGCTTGAAAACAAAATGGAATGTATATTTAATAAAACAAGACAATGAACTCAAAAGCTCTTTGCAGCTATTTGCAACGTCCTCTATAGATGTTGCTAATTTATTTCAATCAATAACAACAGCTGAAGATTAAAAACTGCAAAAGCCAGATGACTGAAACACCAGATTTTCTGAGCCACTTTGACTGATGCATTGACTGAAATGAAAATTTTAAATGTTATTTTTTAAATATGCCAATTTTAACTCTTGGTCAAACATATGAGCTTTCTGATGTACGACTGATCTATTATACCAGCACTGATGAACTTACCTTCTTCAGAGAAATTTGTCTTTTCATTTGTTCTTACTGCAAAATGTCTGGCCATTTGTCGTTCCTGTTTTCTACAAAATCAAAAAACATGAATGCATAAATCTGAAATGTGTTTGAAGCTTAAAACAGCATATTACAAATTTTAACTGTTTAAATGCCATCCCTTGTTATTTGTATCTATTATTACCTGTGAATCCAGTCATATAATCAGTGTGCATGTGTCTCTACTGTGTTTTGTGGACAAATTTCTCAGATTTAGGAATTCTGAATTGCTGAGAATTTCAGTTTTGTAAATTTATACTTTAAATCAGTGCATTCACTGAGTTTCTGGTAGCTTCTGAATCTTATAACATCCACCAGGAATGGTAATAGGTTTGCTTTGGCCAAGTTTTATTTCTTCATTGGGAACATATCTTCAAAATTGAATATTTTGAAAAAACAAGGTTCATTTTACAAAAAGCTCCCTGATTGAGCGGGCCTCTCTGAGCTTCAGGGTCTAAGGCTCCGTGTTACCTCAGCAGGGCTTTTTCCTTTGCTTTGAGTCTGTCGACCTCACTGCCGTGGGCTGCGTGAGGGTTGATACAGATTAACTCAGCTTCAGAGCTTTGGATGTTTTGTTCTTCCTCATAGATGTAGTCGACCAGATTTTGGAAATAACTGCAACAGGAGGTCTGAAAAACAGGGAGGTCATTTTCATCCCGTCAGTCCCAGAGGAAGATAATTAGAAGAAAAAAAACAAAAGTGGCTAATGGGGTTTGGATAGCAACCTATCATAACTTTTTTTGGTAACGACTTTATTGAGATATAATTCACATACCACACGATTCACTCATTTAAAGTGTGCAATTCAGTGCTTTTTAGCATATTCACAGACTTGTGCAGCCATCGCCACAGTCAATTTGAGAACATGAAATCTGTACCCATCAACAGTTACTCCCTATCCTCCTCTTCCCCAGCCCCTGGCAGCCCCTAATCTGTTTTCTGTCTCTATAGATTTGCCCATTCTGACAGTTCACATAAATGGAATCATACAACATGTGGCACTTCGTGACTGGCTTCTGTCACTTAGCATACTGTTTTCAAAGTTCACCCATGTTGCAGCCTGTGTCAGTGCTTCGTTTCTTTTTATGGCTGGATAATATTCCATTGTATGGATACACTACATTTATTTACCCATTCATCAGTTGATGGACATTTGGGGTTGTTTTCACTTTTTAGCTGTTATTAATCATGCTGCTGTGAACATATGTGTACAAGTTTTTGTGTGGACATAATTTTCAATTCTCTTAGGTATATACATAGAATGGAATTGCTGGGTTAACTTTTTGAGGACTCAGGCTGTTTTCCAGAGTGCCTGCACATTTTATATATTCTCCTTCAGCAACAGATGAAGGTTCCAGTTTCTCTATGTCCTTGCCAACACTTGTTATCATTTGTCTTTTTGATAGGGGGTGCGAAGTGGTGTCTCATTGTAGTTATGATTTGCATTTCCCTGACAGCTAAGACAACTCTTTTAAGAATGGCAATGCCAGGGAAAGATGCAGGAGAAAATACAGGATATGTTTAAAAGTAGTATTTAAAAATGACACTATTTCCTCAGGAAGCCCCCTCTAGAACTTACCTGCTCTTTCGGTTCAGAGCCACTGTAGTCAGAGGACACATCCACACTGGAAAGAAATGTTCTTAAATCGCTCCCACAAAATTCACACTTGGGCGATATCTCCTCCTCTTCTTCCTTCAGAGAGGGAAAAAACGATGAAGGCGTTTCCACAAGGAGGCCCAGAGCCTCTGAGAGCAGGAGGAGCCAGGGCTCCAGGCAGGGACAGCAAGTGTCCAGCAGGACGGCAGGGGAGGGAGGTGCTTCAGAACTCCCGTCAGACACCCTGGGGGCTCCCAGAAATAGCTGGTGGGGGACTTTCAGGGGGATGAGAGCCTGTATGGGAAGGCCCCATGCCAGCAAGATCTGTACACTCCAGAGGTGAGACCTCACTGCTATTCAAGGCAGGTGAGGCCTGAGGAGGCTGAGGGGGTGTTTGGAGGGCCTCTGCGGGTACAGTTCTCCAGAGCACAGCTGAGCCCCTCAGGACCTGGCTGTGTCCTTGGGTGCCTCCTCGGTGCAAGAAGAAAGTTGTAGAAATGACTTTACTGTTGACATCAGAGTCCCTTGTGGGAGAGGGGGATGCACAATGTGTAACTAGATGCAACAGAAAGGAGAGCACACACTGGATTTTGTGCAAACAGTCTAAGATGTTTGAATACCCTAAACTCTTGCAAGAAGTGTCAGGTAGGAAAAGGGCTCGAGTTCCCACGTAGGCCACTGTTTGCAATGATCAGCTTCTAAGATGAGTTTGAGTTCTTCCTCAAGGGGAAGCCAGCTTGGGGCTCTGAGTTCTCCCATCTGTGCTACGAAGGTGACTCAGGTGGGTGGGGGAGAGCAGGGAAAGCCAAAGGGGGACTCGCAGTTAGGGGTTTGGGGGACTCCGTGAGGGGTTGTGCACTAGGGCCATGTTGTGATGGGAGGCCACGGCTGTGACTGCAGAGGCTCCTGGGCAGGCAAGCAGCCAAGACTCAGGATAGGCCTCCAGGGAAAGACCCAGATCACACATGACATGCAGATCATGCACTACCAGGGCACTGGTACTTGCCATGGAGAGCATTGTCTGGAACTGGCAAAACGGCCACCGTGGGGACAAAGAGTGACCGAGGTGGCCAGTGCAGCCAGGCACTCACCACCCTAGAGTAATGTCCAACCTCTTTAGGCCATTGAGACATGTGATGATAAGGACTGCATATCGTTGCAAGCAGGGGACTGGGGAGGAAGGCCTTGCGATAGAGAGATGACAGTGAAAAATCTAGGATGGCTACCAAATGATGGGGCAGGGCAGAAAGAGGGCTTGGCAATGCCAGCCCCTCTCCAACCTGTTCCATACAGGGGTCTTGGTAATGAACTCCTCAGCCCGTGGACCCTTCACCAGAGGGTGAAGAAAGGTGGAGATGCTTCAAAAGACCACGAGTGGGGTGGAATCTGGCCTGAAGAGGGTGTGGCTGGAGAGGAGAGCTGGCCAGCCAGCTGCTGCTGCCCTTGAATGGCACTAGTGTGAAGGCCCCATCTCAGAGGACCTGGAAGATCTGCCCGCGATGCAGGAGGAGCCAGCCCTGCCAAGTGCCAGGGCAGGGAAAATTCCTGGGGAGAAAGGCCACAAGGCCTTCCTCATCTCTGGGTGAGGCCCATCTCTGGATGTCAGGGGAAGAAAGCTCAAGAAATGTCCCTGGATATAAGCCTTTGTGGTTCAGCAAAAGGCAGGTGCTATGTTTGAATAAACAATTTCAGGGCTGGCCCCGTGGCTTAGCGGTTAAGTGTGCATGCTCTGCTACTGGTGGCCCAGGCCCGGATCCTGGCGCGCACCGACGCACCGCTTCTCCGGCCATGCTGAGGGCGCATCCCACATATAGCAAGTAGAAGGATGTGCAACTATGACATACAACTATCTACTGGGGCTTTGGGGAAAAAAAGGAGGAGGACTGGCAATAGATGTTAGCTCAGAGCCCGTCTTCCTCAGCAAAAAGAGGAGGATTGGCATGGATGTTAGCTCGGGGCTGATCTTCCTCACAAAAAAAAAAAAAAAAGAATTTCAGCCTGCAAAGTCTATAGGGTGACCATAAAGTTCAGAAATCTGGGCAAATATAAACAGTCGATGTTGACTGATATTACATTACAGGATATATTTAATGCCCTCATTAGAATCACAGAGTTCCATGCACTGCACAAAATGGCAATGAACACCAACCACACCGGTGCACACACACAGCATTCCCATCAGCCCCTGCAAACACGTCTGTGATGCCTGCCTCCCATGGTTGACGTCTCATTTTCAGTGAAGAAGCCTGCGCCTGTAGAAGAAGTAATCAAGGGGGTTCCGACCTGGGGAGTGTGCAGCTTTCTGTAGGGCCATGCTGTCCAAGTTTGGAAATAATCACACCCAGGCAGTCCCTCACCGCTCTGGGGGAGTGGTGGGGGTGCCATCCGGCTGGAATTACTACGGTGACCTTTCCCTTGCCCATTGAGCACGGGCATTAATTGGTCACTTAACCTGATCAAATATGACAAACGTTCACCTAGGTTTCCAGGCTTTATGGCCACTGTTATCGGGTGAGATGTGTCTCCCAAAAAGATATGTTGAAGTCCTAACCCTGCTCCTGTGAATGTAGCCTTACTTAGGAATGGGGTCTTTGCAGATGTCATCACATTCAGATGAGGTGATGAAGGGTGGGTCCTACTCCCATATGACTGGTGTCCTCGGGAAGAGGGACACTCAGACACAGAGGCACAGAGAACGCCGGCACAACTGAGGCAGAGATGGAGCGATGCAGCTGCAAGCCCAGGATCGAGGACCACAGCCAGAGCCTGGAGGCGGCGAGCAAGGATGCGCCCCTGCGGCTGGCGCTTGCTGACACCGTGACTGTGGGCCTCTGGGCTCCAGAGCTGTGAGACACTGGGTTTCCGCCGTTGTCAGCTCCCAGTCTGTGCCGCTTCGTTACAGCTGCCCCAGGAGACTCACAGCCACCCGGTCTAAGTGCTGTCCCAAGTAAATGAGCTCTTCGCTTGTTTGTTTGTTTAAAGTATGTTCATTGTCTTTTGTGCAAATCATCATGTGGGATTTTACGTCATTTATTACAGTAAAAGTAAAAAAATCATAACTTAAAATCACCTTGAACTGAATGTCTAAATTGGAACTCTCCTGTTTGAATGCCAGAATGGATGGCGGCCCGATGCTGGGTAAGGTTCTCAGAGAAGATTCAAACAGTCTTAGGAAGTCTTCCTTAAACTAAATTTTAAAAAGAGAGAGAGAGCAAATTGAAGATTGAATAAGTGATTTTTACCATGTGCACAGTGTATTACTGGACTGATAAACATTTCTTACCTCCAGCTCACATAAAATATTTAGTTTTGGCTCTTCTGGATTAATTACCCATTTTTCTGAAGAGAAAAGGATAGATTTAGAAGGAAAGTTAAACCCTTTGTGCACGGTATTGCATTTTTTCTAGTTTGGAGATCCTAGCCCATCTCTCTCTCTCTCTCTCTCTCTCTCTCTCTCTCACACACACACACACACACACACACACACACACTGTTTAAACGCCCTGAGACCGCCCTTCTCACCGCCTTCTTGCAGGTATTCCCAGACGCGGGCACCGTCCCAAGTGTAGGTGGGTCCCGAGGGCGGTCTGCCTTCGCAGCAGAGGGCAGGCCTCCAAACAGCTGTTTACCTCTTAACGCAGCAGCCCGGCCTCCAGGTTTAGCTTTCTTCATCACAGAGGGCATTTTCTTCCCTGTGAAAAGGGTGTACATGTGTCATCAATCCTGACAAAGTGGGAAAGAAGTTGACTATAAAAGAAAATATGCCTCTTGGAAAAATAAGTACCCTTACTGCGTTTGTTTTATCTTTTAATGTTTTGCCTTTTCCAAATAACATTTATGAACAACAACAAACAAAAAGAGGAAACTCACCACTGATGTATCACATTTAAAAATGTTTCCTGTTCCGTTCCAGTCCTGGAACACTGCACGGATGCATATTTTACCTGATTATACCACAGTTCGCAGACCCTTTTGTTTTCTGCTTTTAAAAGGTACTATTCTTTCTACCTGATGTCTGTTATTCTGTAAATGGTTTTTCAGGTGGAAGGGTGTCGGGGGCTCCAGTTCAAGACGGTGAACTAAACTTACCAGGATTATTCCCTCCACGGATTCCAGGGCCCCACCGGAAATGAGCAAGGCGGCCACAACAACACACCAGCAACTCTGAGTAAATGTCTAGAAGATTTACCCAAATAGGAGTGGAGTCATGAAAAAACCCGTCAGGGAAATAGACAAGGGGGCAGAGGTGAAGGGAGCGGGCGGACCCATTTTCCCAGCAGAGCCAGGGACAGCAAGGGCTGCTGTTAGAGAAAGAGGGAGGCTTCACAAGATGACACACTTCCTATGTGGACTATCTGAAAAACATTTAAATATGTTTTACGCATTTTGTCCAATAGAAATGCCAGCACAAGTATAAAAAAATGAATGCACAAAGATTTTCATTAAGGCATTATCTGTTACAGAGAAGAGCCTAAAACACAAACCCAAACCAACCCTGAAATATCTAGCCATCAGGTTGATTACATAAGTGACAGTAACTTTACGTAATACCATGCAGTCGTCTCAAAGAATTAGATCGATCTTTCCTGACATGGAAAGATGTCCATGATACACTGCTAAGGAAAAAATTAAAAGAGAGAGGAAACTGCCCTTATTCACAGGGAATGTAATTGTCTAGTAGACTTTCAACTGACAAACTATTAGAATTAATTAGAATGGTCAGCCAGGGGGTCTGATACAAGGTTAATGCATAAAATCAATAGTTTTCCTATACATTGACAATAACCATCTGGAAAATATAATAGGAAAAAAAGATTCCAAGTTTTACATCAATAAAAGACCATGAAATACCCAGGAATGAACTAACAAGAACTGCATGTGAGTCCTATGTGAAAAAAGAAAAAACTATAAAAGATCTGAAAAAAGTGGAGCGGTCCACGAGGTTCCCGCTGTTAATCAGACGAGGCGGCTGCAACGCCTGGAGAGCAAACCGAAACCTACGCCAGAGTCCATCCCTGCACATGCCTCCAGGGCAAGAAGAGCGCTGCCACGCACAGCCGTCTAGGCTGTCCCAAATAATGCAACCGCTCCCGCGACAGCCAATCAAATAACGTCCTTGCTGGGCTCCCGCGTCTTCTCTACAAAAACCTCTCCCCCAGTTCTTGTTGGTGGAGCGCCCCAACCACTTTCTGTTTGGTGCTGCCTGATTCCAATCCAGGTTTGCTCAAAGAAACTTACAAATTTGAAAATGCCTGTTTATCTCTTAACACTGCAAAGCAAGACCAAAGATTCAATTTGTCAGTTCCATTGGAAAATCCCATCAGAATTGCATTGACTATACAGATTAATGTGGGAATAATTAACATCTTTTGAATCTCTGGTCCATTTTTATGTGAGATTTGGTCACTCATCTGTGCAAGCCCTCCAGTGACGTCTCCCTTCATTCCTATTGAAAAAGATTTGGTCTTCGTTGTCTCTTTGACCTCGTCCTCTAGGATTCGCCTCCTTACTTAGTCCACTGCAGCCACACGGGCCGCCTTCTTGTTCTAGAAGGAGGCTCTTGCTGTGCGCTGTGCCTGGAACACTCTTCCCACAGAGGTCATCGTGGCTCACTCGCTGCCTCCTGGAGGTCTTGTCTCAGGTAGTCCAGCTTCCCCGTGAAGACCTCCCTGAGACCTGTGTAAGCTCGCACCCTCCTCTGCCCAGCATTTTCCATCTCCTTCCCTGCTTTATTTTTCTCCCGAGCACTTACATCACCGGATGTCTTACATATGGACTTATTTTGTGTGTTATTATCTCCCCATCACCTCCACCTCCCACCCTTTGATAGAAGATCACTGAGACAGGGGTTTTGTCTGTTTTGTTTACCGTTTCCTAGAACAGGGCTTGGCCCATGAGAGGGGCTCAGGGAGCACCTGATGAACACAAAACAAACGTCAAAGTTGCAAGGGAAGGCTGTTCAGAACGATTACTTCTGAGGAATACATTGGGCTAAGTTAAAATTTTAATTTTTACACTACATATTTCTTAATGCTTTGACATTTAAAAAACAGCGTGTATATGTTACTTCTATAGTAAACAATAAAGATATGTATCAAAATATAACGGCAGATTATTTCTAGACACGAACATAAATGCCTCATTTATTGAAGACTAAGTGCCCGGGAGTTTAAATATTTCATCTCGTTTTGATCTTCATGACAATCCCAGGACGGAGGTATTATTATACTAGCAGATGAAGAAACAGACTCAATGATCGTAGGTACCTAGCCCAGGAGTCACAATGCTGGTTTGTGGGGTTGGGATTCAAACCTAGCTTTCCTGGCCGTCTACACCCATGCTCTTTCCAGTGTGCAATCCTATCTCCCAGCAAAAGCCAAGAAATCAGAGCACTCACTCGGCTGCTTTTTGCTGGAAGATTCTTGAAGCCAACTTTCTTCTGTTTGTACTGATGCTGGAATTCCTGGATACAAACTGTGAAACATACTCCTGAAATTTAGACAAAATGTTACTTTTGAGTTGATACCTATGTAGCTGTTAGCAGTTCTTCTAAATATAGTACATTTAACAGTCAAATAACAAATAAACATAGAAGATCTGGATTTCTATTTTCTTTGACATATTTTCTTCCATTCATGGCTCTTCAGTGTAGTCAGGCGCAGTGTGTTTACATCATACCTGTTCTCTGGAGAATACTCCTTTCTGAATCCCGAGGGCTCCCAATACCACACTATTTGCCTCAGGGAGTAAATTACTACCACTCTCTCTGCGCATGTGTGCTGGTGACAGTGGTGGTGGCAGTGATGGTGTGCGTGTTTAAACATTTACTTGAATTTAAATGAGAACATAATGTTCATTTTAAATAGCTTAAACATAATCCAAACTCTTTCTCAAGGGCTGAAGTTGAATGTACTGTAATTAAACAATCAGTCATCTTTCTACAAGTAGTTTAACCAGTTATTTGAGTTATCATTGACCTGATAAGAACACAGGAACTTACCGACTTCTACTAGTTAAAATGACTGTTACTGGCAACAAGTAAACAGTAACTATTGCTTTTCAAGTTCCTTTGTGTCTTTGAATTTCAATTTTTTGGTAATAATTTGCTGGATCTTCTAAAATTATCAAACAAAATTTTTCCAAATAATGTACTTAATTTCAGGATTGTCACTTTTTCAACTTTCTCAGTTCTCTGCCATCTCCACCTCCCTTTTTTGATGCTTCATTCCTCGGCACATTGCATCAGTGGGGTGTTCTAATTCTGGAATGACCGTGGCCTCTAATAGGTGAAGAACTGCCTGCCGAAGCCACCTGTGCAAGTCTCTGCGGGAGTGCTGTTTATCCAGGCTCCCAGGGAAACGAGTGACGGGGACCAAGACTAAGGAGCAGTAAGGAGCAGTCCCCAGACAATATTTAGTGTTTGTTTTTCCAGTTCAATAGTTAACAAAATCAATACATTATTCATCTAGGTCTCTCTGCCTTCCTTAAACCAACACTAAGGATGGTTTCTGAAATTCTGTATAAAGATGGCAGACGACCGAGGATAACAACGAAGTGAAGGTTTACTGAGGACTCCCTGTGCAGTAGTACATACATAGCAGCTGCTTTGCTCACACTATGTCATCTATCTTCACAAAACCCCATCAAGGCAGGTAACAGCCTTCCCTTTCTACAGGCGAGGAAACAGGCTCCAGAGAAGCTCTCGAGAATCATCTGCGGCAGAGGCAGACGGAGTCCGGAACCGATCGGCTCCAAAACCTGTTTCTGCACATTCATCTGCCTCCTAAAGTTTGCCCCATTTGCAACCAGAATAGCAATATGGCAATTAAAAATGGAAGCTGAATCAATATTGATTGTATTTTTATGACTTTTTAGGACAGACTTTCTTAAAAACATGATCTCACCAAATGCACCAGAGAATGCTTTGAAATACAAAAGAAGCATCTTCTTAGGAAGAGTTATGAGGAGAAATTAAGAATCTGATCTAGGAAAGAGAGGTTCCCATATAATAGGAAGTCCAGGTCAAGAAGGCAGCCGAGCACACAATCCTCATTCCCTTCCTTTTCACCATCGTACTGAAATAACGAACACTTAAACAAATAAAAATAGCCCTGGAAAACAAGAAAGGTGTCATTAGTAGACAAGTAATATTGAAGAAGACCTTAAAAGAAAGAAAATAAATGGCCTTAGGTTGCTGGAAACCCAGAATGGAGAACACCACAGCTTAAGACGAAGGTGAGTCAAGTTCTCGGAGGGAACCCCCGTGAAGCTCCTAGCTCAGACTCAACCAAATGCAGAGAGGAGGGGGCTGGGACCGTCATCAGAGGAGTTCAAGAGGTCAACCTGGAACAGCTGTCCCAGCAGCCCCTTCTTCTCCCCTGGTACAGGGCACTTGGCAGCAGTTGTTTGTACTTCTAAGGAAGCCCGAAGAACTGCTTTCTACAAAGAGTGGGCAGCCTGCCTGGGGAGGTTTTAGGCCTGACAGAGAAGCAGAGCGCAGAATGCAATTGCTCAGGACCTGCCCAACAGCCTTGGGTGAGAAATGGGGAAGGGACATTCCACCCAGAAAGAAATGCGTGGAGAACTCCAACCACACAGTGAAGTGTCCTTATCCTAACTCTAGTCAAGGGGGGGTCGTCCAGCTCGCCTGCTCCTGCCCACACCCCACAGGAAGCTGGCTCTGTCATGCCCCACCTCCCCTCAGTCGACCCTCCAGGCATCCCTTCAGGAAGCAGAACCACTCAGCTGCGGAAGGCCTCCATTCTAGCTACTACCAGTCATTCATTTATAAATGCAAATGGATAACCAAGGATTACCAGTCACTCGAGGACAACGAGTAGCATGGAAGAGAAGGACCAAGATAAACAAATGGAACACCTGATTCCGAAAGAAAAGGAAGAAATACAAAGAACAAAGGAGAACTTTAGTATAGTATGAGTACCCTTAAGGAGATTTCAAAGGAAAAAACCCAACTATTTGAACAGCAACAATCAGAGAACAAGAACCGATTCTTGGAAATTACAAATATGAATCCTGAAATAAAAAATTCTGTACAAGGGCTGCATGGTAGCACGTGAACACCAAAAATCTTGAAGATTTCCAAGAGGTCCAACAGCCATGCAGTAGGAGTTCCGGAGGAAAGACCACGACCCTGAGGGAGGAAACAATCAAACGTCAGAAGTGTCTGGGAATCGGACTATCAGCAGTACTGGATTCTAGAAGACGATGAAGCAATGTCTTCAGAGCCCTGGGAAAACGGTTTTAGACCTAGCTTTTACGCCACATTGTATTATTAATAAAGTATGGGGGCAAAATGAAGAAATTTCCAGACAGCAAGAACTCAGAAATTTGACTACCCATGAGATCTATATGAAGTAATTACCTGAGGAGTTTCTCCAGCAAAAAGGAAAGGAATAAAAGAAAGAAAGCAATATGGGAATCAAGAAAGTGTGCCCATTGGGCCTGACTCGGAAAGACTGAAGACAACTGAACACAACAGGAGAATTGAAAAGTGCTCCTTTTGGGAGCCAGGTTTTACAGATACAGGATTTCATTTTCATGTGCATGATTTCAGTCACATTATCGGGTTCTTTAGCATGAAATTATGAGTATTGTTTATTGGTTTTCACTTTTTAGACTCAATCTGTACCCAAAGCACTAAGAGTTAATTATAATTATGAAACCTAACATATACATAACAAAACTCGGCAAAGTAATATGACTTTATATGAGTATATATGCCATATTTCAATACAGTTGGTTATATAATGTATATAGTTTGTTGCTAATTGGAAGAGGAAAGGGTGAGAGGAGAGCTAGAAGGAAGTACAAGTGCATTAATGTGTTAGTTTTTCATAATAGAGTTAATAGATAGTGAAAATTGATAAATCAGGAAGTAGAGGTTTAAATACTTTAAAATCCTAAAGGTTAAACTAAAGGTCCTAAACTAAAAATAATGTAATGACCAAAAATGGAGAGGGGGCAAGTAGCATGAGCTACATTCCTCATCTTTCATGGTGGGAAGTCAGTAGTTGTGTCAAAAATCGATAAACCAAGGGATGAAAATATGCGATTTAAAATTATCCTGGAAACAAAACAAACTGTTAAGAGTGTGTGAACTCTGGGGAGTGGCATGGGGGTGGAGGAAGGCATGGTGATTTTTAATTTTATACCTTCATATATTTTTAATATTTTAACCATGTGCATATATTATCTTTTATTAAAATGTTAAAAGGATAAATAAAAGCACATAAATGAGACAGAACAATTCTCCTTATGCTTAAGCATTTAAATATTGCTTGTAAAGGCAAAGCTTAAGTGAATGGTAATTCAAGATTGTGAACTCAGGTGTGGTGTGAGATTTCGGAGAAGATTGATAAAGATGTTCCAAAAGGCGTTTCTCTGGTGTCTTCTTATTCCAGTTAAAGGCTAACAGCAATAACAACAACAAGAAAAAGAGAAGAAAAGGAAAGACGGTAAAGTCCCCCCTCCTGCACAGGTGTCTGATAGCTCTCCTATTGAGCCAGCAGAGACCCACATCCTAAATGTTCACAGCGCTCACCACTGGCATATAGGTGTTATTTCATGTGACAGTGATCAGGGGACAAGTCATCTCTACAGGTGGGTAAGAAGCTGGAGATGGGCAGGGACCCTCGTCTCTATC